GAACATGATGAGCAGAGCACTTGTCCTGTTTTTGCTCCACTGCTTCTAAATCTTGTTTATAAAAATTTAATTTCAGTGTAACTGTAGGAGTTAATCCAGTGAGCAGTAAGTGCCTGATTCTACACATTTTCTTGATAATTCAGGAAAATTTTCCTATGTCTTTTGCACACCAAAGTAATATATGAAAACTATATAATGATCAAATCAGCTATCTCCTTTAGGTTTGTTAGAAAAAATTAAAATGTGAACTCACAGGTCATTCTAGAAAGTACAACCAGGACAAAACTTTCTGTTTTTAAATTTATTTGTAAAAAGGAAAAGAGAATTTCTAATTATGATTGCTCATCATCATGCTATTTTTATATTTATGTAATTCAAAGAATAAAGGCTTAGAGTTAAACAAATGTTTTCAAGTCTATATGCCTTCCATATGTGACATGAGAAATTACATAACACTTTGAGTTCAACAAATGTCTTTAAATCTATATCTTTTCTCTATGTGACACTTGGCAAACACCCTGAGACTGGTTTCATCTGTAAAATAAGATTTATTAATATACCATATTTGTAGAATTGTGTGAAATATAAATGAAATGAGATAATGTTTGTAATGTTCTCAACATGGTACCCATCACATAGTAAGTGCTTAGTAAGGTGTTAGGTAAGGAAGTTCATAAAAACATTCCTGAAACATAATAATAATAATAATAATAATAATACAGTGACAATAAGACTAATGACACTATATTATACCTTCCTGAATTATCTCATTTAATTTAAAGCAATAAAATACTATTGTTATCCCTATTTCACAGTTGTGAAAACAAAACTTTGAGACCTTAGGAATTTGTTTATGTCACATAGCCGAAAAAGGGAAGAATAAGGATTGCATAAGTAAAGGTAGCATCTATTGTTATCATATTCTTGTCTTCATCATCACCATATCCTGTTATCTTTGTAGAAGACTAGGCTATAAAAATGAATTCTTGGGTTCTTCCAAAGATAATTGCCTCCCCTTGGAAGAAATCCAGCACAAGCCCACATTAAGCTAAATTCTGCATTAGAGTGGGCTGTCATACAGTTGGGAGGATTTATTCCAAGCACCTAGAAGGCACATGAAAGATGAATAGACAGAATTCATCAGATTTTTTTTTTACCTTTAAACATATCACAGTACAATGAAGAGAAAGAAAATAAAGTGATTTTGTCTATACTCTAAGACACTTTTAAATGTCATTACCACTGGTTCACCTGGTTGTCAATCCCTGGGGAATCAAACACTTGAAATATGGTTTGAATTGTTAATGAATGAAAACTGTCAAAAAGAATTAGTGTAAATGTATGAGCCTATAGTGAGAAGGTTGAAAATGAAAGTGGAGAGTTTACTCAAGTTGAATTCTATAATGTCTTTTATTCAAAATTCACTCATTATATCACCCCTATGTGTCTAATTATGAAAAATAAATGTAAAACAAGTATTTTTGGATAAAGTTTAATAATGAGTGTATACTTGCCTTAAAAATTTTTCAATAACTTAAGAAAAATCTGCATAATCATTTTAAAACATACATATAGGGTCTGAGGTTGCGGAACAGTGGATTTAGCCTCCATCTTCAACACTAGCATCCAATAACAGCACCAGTTCAAATCCTGGATGCTCCAATTGGATACAGCTTCCTGCTAAGGAACCTGCGAAGGCAGGGGAAAATAGCCTGAGGACTTGAGTTTCTGTCACCCACATGAGAAACTCAGATGAGTTCCAGACTCCTGTCCTTGGCATGACCCAACCCTGGCCACGGCAGTCACTTGGGGAGTGAACCAGCAGATGGAAGATCTCTCTTTCTCTCTCTCTGTCTCTCCCTCTCTCTCCCTGTAACTCTGTCTTTCGAATAAATTAATAGAACTTTTTAAAGTAATTTAAAAGATGAGAATGTACAATTTTATAGAAACATTAGAATTGATTGCAAACAATGTAATATTAATGCAAATATTTTTTAAAATGAAAATCAATATTTTTCAAAAATAAAAATGAGATAATCAGAAATTTCATTAACAAAAGGATTTGTAATATGCTTAAAAGGATTTTTAACTTTTATTTTTGTAATTTTATCAATAGAATTAGACATTTAAAGTACGTGACAACTTTTAATCTAATTTAAAATGTAAAAAATAATAGACTTACATTAATATGGTCATAAAAATTTAAATAATGGCAAACACAAGTTGTAGCTGGGGACTCAATATTCAAATCAATTCTGAGCTATTCAACTTTCAACTCAATATAGGGCAGACTTGAAAGATAATCCCCAAAAGTACTATTTTATAACAAAAGTCTTAATGGAAAACCACCCTGACTATATCATGTGATGACTAGCAAACATATCCAAAGCCATGAAGTTGCTAAGTTTTCAGCCTGCACAAATCCAGCGTGGAATAAAATGGAAAACAAGATCTCACCACTTCCGGCTTCTTATCAGCAACCTGCATTCACTTTGACACATCTCCAGGTATTTCTCAAGTCTGGATTAACAACCAGGAAAGATAGTTTCCGTATCAGTTTTCAGATGCTCTTCCTCAGTCTCCTTGACTCAAACCTAGGCAATCAAAGAAATAGGATATTCCATAGGTTTAAGAGAATCAGATAGGGAACATGGCAAGGGTATTTATTACTCAAGAGACTTAATACTCCTACCAGACTAGTTGTCATCTTTCTAATTATGATCGCCTTATTTCAGGTAAATTGTAGACACAACTAAAGCCCAGTTGAAAACAGTTGAGAAAGAATCACAAAGACACCGGTTCCGACCTCTTCACATACTTCCTATATTCACTGTGTCAGGTGGAAAGTTATCTGATTGTACCAGTGAACATCCAAGATGAAATCTGTTAACCAGGAATGACAATGCTTACTTCATAGGACTGCTGTGAGAATTCTAGTGCTTAGCAAAGGGGCTGGCACTTAAAAGGCAGTTATCCCTGTCATTACCTCCACAGGACACCTCTCATCAGTCAGCACTTTGGTGGCAATGGAGGAGACCTGCAAACATCAGTCCCTTTTCACTAAGCTCAGGTGAGTTGTACATCAGCTCCCCCCCACTGAAGGCTGTCATTATCTGAAAGCTTTCCTCCTTCCTCATTATACTTTCTAAATAGGATGTAGAACTTCATCACTAATCATTGGGTTGAAGCGACTCACATTAAGGTGCAAAAAAGCCTTAACAAAACTATGGACTTTTGCCTTTCCAATTGGAGGAGGTTTTCCTATTGTGTAAGGGAAAGCTCTGCTACTTAAACATAACAGTAAAAACAACACAGTACTTAAACATTGTGTTGAACTCTTGACTGGGATAATTTAATAGTTTCCATAGTTTGGAAGAGTAAAGAGGCAATAGTTAATCAAATACATTGTTATCAATAACCTATAAGTATATCATACACAAATTCCTCGAAGCTGTCTTATTCTCACAGCATAACTGAGGTCTGTACAAGGAGAGGATCCTGTCTGCCTTTTAAAGCATCTGGAACAGGGCCTGGCACACAGTGAATCCTCAATGAACATGTGTTGAAAAATCAGGGAAAACACCTCCTTAAACACGTGATCTTATTTAGAAACTTTCAAAAAATAAATGAATCATATTTTGATGTATTTAAAAGTCAATAAAGGCTGGCACTACAGCTCACTAGGCTAATCCTCCACCTACAGCACAGGCACACAGGGTTCTAGTCCTGGTCAGGGCGCCGGATTCTGTCTGGGTTGCTCCTCTTCCTGTCCAGCTCTCTGCTATGGCCCGGGAGTGCAGTGGAGGATGGCCCAAGTCCTTGGGCCCTGCACCTGGCTCCTGGCTTCCAATCAGCATGGTGCACCAGCTGCGGCGGCCATTGGAGGGCGAACCAACGGCAAAGGAAGACCTTTCTCTCTGTCTCTCTCTCACTGTCCACTCTGCCTGTCAAAAAAAAAAAAAAAAAAGTCAATAAAAACAGGTGGGTATTTGCCATAGGGGTTATGATGCCTGCATCTCATTTGAGAATGCTTGTGTTGCGGTCCTAGTTCTGCTCCCCATTCCAGCTTCCTGCTAAAGCTTGCCCTGAGAACTGGATGAAAGCTCAAGTAAGGGATATCTGTCTCCCTACATCAATGCCTCAGACTGAGTTCTGGGCTCCGTCCTCAGCCCAAGGCCCAATCCTGGGATCTCTCTCTCTCTCTCTCTCTCTCTCCCACACACACACAGACTCACTGCCCCCTCCCTCTCCCTCAGCCCCTCTCTCCCTCTCCTGTTCTCTCCCTCTCAAATAAATAAAATAAATCCAAGTTTAAAAAAAAAAAACTGACAAAGACGCTATTTTCCAAACATTTTGTGTATCAGAGCAGACTCCGATATTTAGTCCTGGATTTGAATTTGGACTGCCTGACCCTAAGTTAATTCACATAATTTGTCCTTGATCCATAAAGTCCGTATGCATGCTGCCACTTCTAGTGTTGTCATGATTAAGTAAATTACTATGCGAGTAGGCAGCCTGCAAAACTCCCTGGCATAAAGCATGCATCCAATAAACGTTAAGTGTTGTTATTAAAACTTGAAAATTTGCTGAGGAAAAGATTGAGCCCCAGTAAGCAGGTGACAGCTCTCAGTCCCACAGCCGCCAGCACGAAGCAGCCAGGTTTATGCCCTGTTTATGAAAAGGCATTCCCCTGCTGCATCAAGCTGCCTGCTTCCCTGGTTGTCTGCACTTTTCAAAGCGACCTACTAGGAAATCGCAACTATGAGCATGGGTGACCGTTTCTGGGAAAGACATGAAAAATACAAAACTGTGAGATGCTCCCAGCAAATGAGAAGAGTTAATATAAAAATAGATAACACCAAAAAGTTCATACATTGCTCTAACCCAGAGGTGAGTCCACTTAGCCCGCTGGCCGTGTTCTCAGGCACTCGGGAAATGTGAATTAAGTGTCTTCAGCAGGAAGAGAACTCGGCCTCACGGAGTGCCTCGCGTCCCCTGCCCATCTCGCCGCCCCCTGCGCTCCTTCCACTCTCTCTGCTGGAACCTGGGGCCGCGGTGGGGCGGGCGGCTCCGAGCCAGCGCGGGCGGAGCCGCGGGGCCGGGAGGAGGCGAGACGCCGAGCGCTGGCGAAGAGCTCCGTCGCTCGCAGCCACTCTCGTCGGGCGTCACGTGTAGACCGGCAGGATCTAAGGAGGGCTCTGTTTCTGGGACGCGGGCTGGCAGCCCAGATGTGCCAGCAGTGGCAGGTGAGTCACATGCCCTGCCCTCCTACCCCCTTCCCACAGGTGGCCCGGGCGTGGCTCCAAGCGCATCTGGTGGGTACAGGTTTAGGCTCACCTGGGCCCGGGCTCTCGGCTTCTCCCTTTACTGAGGCACCGTTACTATTTAAACTCCTGCCCCAGCCCACGCCTGTTCTATTCCTTGTCTCTTCTCCCTCTCTTCGCATGAAATGAAGGCTTTGAGGCGTGCCAGGGATCGCGCTACCACAACACCTGCTGTCCCGGGGAGCGCACTCAATGCCTGGGCAGGCGGTGGACAACCAATGGGCTGGGCAGCTGGTCTTCGCGCCCCTCTAAGGCCTTACTCACTCCCTGGATCTTCGGTCAACGTCCTCATTAATTATCTCTATTCCTCAACCAGGAGGTCAAGGGGAGGCGGGCCAAGGCGATGGAGCGTGAGTGACTGACTGGCATCCGAGTGGACCCGGAGGAAATGGCGCGGCCCATCCCCCAGGGCACCCTCTCCACGTGCTCACAGCCGCCGCGGGCTCCCGCGGGGAGTGAAGCAGCTGCAGAAAACGAAGAGGGAGGACTGTAAACCCGCAGGTTGGAAGGGAACCACCTCTCCCGCTTGCTGAACTTTTTGGTTGGGTCTCCCGCGCTCAGGAGTTGAGTCCTGCCCTTGCTTGCGCTGAGCTAAAAAAGTCGCCTCCACTGCCTCCTCCCGCCTTGCTCTTTCGGTCCCCGACCCCTTCACCCGCCAGGTGGTGAGGCTTTTCGATCCGGACACCTTACCGGGCCGGGGGAATCCTAATTACAAAGTTAGGAAGAGCCACGGAGACCCACGGGCTGCCCCGGGTGGTGCTTGCCTCCTCGCTCCGCGCCCCTCCCAGCCGGCTGGCTCAGCCACTTGCGCGCCGCTGTGGCGCGCTCGCAGCTCCCTAGCGGCGGGAAGCGGAACGGGCACCGGGGGTGGGGACGGTAGAGGTGCACGAGTGGGAGGCACCTCCCTCGGGAGCCCGGGAGATCCCGGCCGCGCCGCCGCCGCCCTCGCGGGACTGAGGCTTCCGGCGTGTTCCCAACTTTGTGGCGCCCGCAGGCAGCGGCGGCTGCTATGGAGCTGCCTCCCCGTGGCAGGGCGCCGCCGTGCTCCCCGCTGGACAGCTGCTCCCTGACCTCCCTGGACTCCAGCGTCTTCTGCAGCGAAGGAGAAGGGGAGCCCTTGGCGCTCGGGGATTGCTTTACGGTCAACGTGGGAGGCAGCCGCTTTGTGCTCTCGCAGCAGGCGCTGTCCTGCTTCCCGCACACGCGCCTTGGCAAGCTGGCCGTGGTGGTGGCTTCCTACCGCCGCCCCGGGGGCCTGGCCGCCGTGCCTAGCCCACTGGAGCTGTGCGACGACGCCAACCCCGTGGACAACGAGTACTTCTTCGACCGCAGCTCGCAGGCGTTCCGCTACGTCCTGCACTACTACCGCACCGGCCGCCTGCACGTCATGGAGCAGCTGTGTGCGCTCTCCTTTCTCCAGGAGATCCAGTACTGGGGCATCGACGAGCTCAGCATCGACTCCTGCTGCAGAGACAGGTACCGGCTAGGCACGCGGCAGGTGGGCGGGGAGGCGGGCGCGGTGCGCAGAGGAAGGCGCAGGTCAAGATCTGAGGCTGAGCTGCCAGGACCTAGGCCTAGGATAGGGGTGGCCACCTCTGCGCCGTTAAGTGGGGTGGTGGGGGCAAAGCTAACTTTTACTTCGAAGCTTCTGAACTTGTGTGTCCCCGTTGTGAGTATATCCCAGTATATATTTCCTATAGAGGAAGACGACGACGGTCACTTCCCCACTAAATATTAATGTTTGGATAAGTGATTCAGAAAAGCTGTGCTTGTGTTGGGATGAAGATTTTCAGTTGAGCATTATCATTTAGCAAACCCAGCACATTAACTTTGAAAAACTTGAATAGACATCTGCTTTTATTACAGAAAATAGGCAGTTGATTCCTTGACTGAATGCTTGTGGGCCTTGGATGGTGATGTCGCTGTTATTCTGCCATGACTGCCATTATTTCTTTCTGACTACCTTTCCTTAATATCTAACAAAGTTACAGATGACAATCATTTATTCTTGTAGGTAGCAAATGGGAAGTAAAATGCATTCACCCACAAATGGCTTTTGCTATGTAAAAATCCTGTTCAATAAACTTCTCAGAAAGTGTCATTATGAAAATCATAATGTTAAGTGGGGAATTCTGAATACTATGGGCAGGAGACAACCTGGGAAAACTATGAATAGACATTTCCTGCATTTCACTGAAAAAAAGTATGGCCTCCCTGTCAAGTTTAATTTTCTCCTACTTCTGTATTTTACAAAAGTTAGACTAATCACCAAGTTGTCTTTTCTAAAAGATACTTCAGAAGAAAGGAGCTGAGTGAAACTTTAGACTTTAAGAAGGACACGGAAGACCAAGAAAGTCAACATGAGAGCGAGCAGGACTTCTCACAAGGACCTTGTCCCACCGTCCGCCAGAAGCTCTGGAATATCCTGGAGAAACCGGGGTCTTCCACAGCTGCCCGAGTCTTTGGGGTCATCTCCATCATCTTTGTGGCAGTGTCCATCGTCAACATGGCCCTCATGTCAGCCGAATTAAGCTGGCTTGACCTGCAGCTGCTGGAGATCCTGGAGTACGTGTGTATCAGCTGGTTCACCGGGGAGTTTGTCCTGCGCTTCCTGTGTGTGCGGGACAGGTGCCGCTTCCTGAGAAAGGTGCCAAACATCATAGACCTCCTGGCCATCTTGCCCTTCTACATCACCCTTCTGGTAGAGAGCCTGAGCGGGAGCCAGACCACACAGGAGCTGGAAAATGTGGGACGCATTGTCCAGGTGTTGAGGTTGCTCAGGGCTCTGCGCATGCTAAAGCTGGGCAGACATTCCACAGGTATCCAGATTTCCTTGATGTCTTTTAATTTGTCATGGTTTTTAATGCATTTATGATTCGGTCACAGTTATCAGAGAAGTGATTCTGAATTGATGTCCAAAATGACCAGCTCTCTCAAACTTAAACCTGACCTCTGAAAAGGTATTGGGAAGCAACACATTAAAGTCATTTTATAGATACAGGAGAAGAGGCCTCTTCCACACTTTCTCTCTATAAGGCATTGAGAAACAATTTGACCACTTGTTAACCTCAATTTATTGGAAACTAGTACTCAAGTATACAAAAATTAAAGACACTCTAAGTCTAGAAAGTTCTAGACAAAACATGCATAAGTGATACACCAAATGATACACATAAATTATGAATGTCTACATAAGCCAGTTGCTCTTCAGTATACGAGAATTGCCTGCCACACATTCTCCTTGCCAGAAGGGAAGTCAGTCCTCCAGAGCTTTCCCTACTCATGCAGAAAGGGAAATGAGCAGGTGCTCATGGGCTGGTGATAATCTTTGAGGAAGCAATGGAAATATTTGTTTTGGAAGAAACCAGAACACACTGTATATATGCTTTATCTAGTACTGAATATTTCTTGTCTCTGGCTTGGGAGACGTGAGAGAGAAGGGAACTAGAATTCATTAGATTTTTGTGTGAAATAGAATCTTTAAACATCTGATGAACATTCCCTAAAAAAATCTTCACACAACACACACACACACAAACACACACACACACACTCAACTGCCTGAAAATTTCAACCAATGTCAGGGGACTTCATACAATGAATCAATTCAAGATACTGGTTCTCAGTGTTAGACCCTGCAGCTGTTGGATGTTCTAGATTACCTATGAGTTACTTCATGTCAGATCTTAAAATAAGACTCCCTGGACAAGCTTGTTGAAATGCAAATTCTGAGCTACAGCCCCCAGAGTCAGATTTTAGTATTGAAGGTTGAATCCAGGAGCATATGTTTTAACCAGCTCACAAGTGATTCTGATGTAGGTGGTTCTTGGACTACTCTTTGAGAAACACTGCAGTAGGATGCCATTTTAATATAATACATATTAATAAAAATACATGTTGGTACAAACAAATTGACTGGAGATTCCCAGATATGTGCATGACTGGCCACCTAAAAAAGGTTGATGCTGGTTTCTCTCCATATAAATATAGGGAGAAATTGACTTCTGATATGGTTTTCTTTCTACATGTCTCTGAGGTAATTAGGACTTATCCTAACATAATTTTGGCAGTGTATTTTTCTAGCAAGTCTCACATATCAGAGATTTGATAATGGGTTTTCCAACAACTTTTATAAGTACCACTTTTTGTTTTCTGACACACATAATGGGATGCTTTCCTCGAGTATTTATAAACTGTTTGCAAGATTCAATTTAAAAAAACCCAGTAAAGACTACATTTTTTCCCAAGAGAAAGGAAAAGGAAAATAATAGTAATTTCCACAGTGTCACCTCTACAAAGGTTTTCTCAGTTCTAAAACAACCATAAAGTATTAAAGGCTCAGTTTATTGAGCAATATGAACAACTGCATAACTATTTGACATTTTACCTCAAATATTAGATAAAACATAAACATGGATAACACATTTCTCCATGTATATGTTGTAAATAAAAATTAAGAGGATTTATAGAACAATGGGTAGGATGCCAAACAGCCTAGGTTTAATTTCTGACTCTGTAGCTTTGTACCACTCAGTCTCCCCATCTGTAAAATGGCACAACAATGACTACCACTATCTCATATTATTTTTAATGATCATCAGAGTTAACTAGTATAACATGATAAAAATTCAGCCCACTTTGTATTTTTTTCACCAAAGTGTTTGGGACATTTCATCTTTGAATTTAAATAATTTTCCCAGACCACACTATGCTTCTCCTCATATATACTAACTTTACTTCAGAAATGCAATTCCATATGGACACATCCAGGCCATTTTGGAAAAAAAAAAAGAAAGGTATTATAAGGTATTCTGAAAGATATTCTTTTGACTTCAAGTCTTATAATTAATATTCATTGGCCTTTAAAAATAGCTGGTTAATATTTCAAGAATATCTCAAAATCATAAGAGCAAAGTTCAAAATGATGAGAGCACTAATGATATTCTAATGAGTCTCAAATAGTCTACTGAGTGAATAAAAATGATTCTGAGAGATATTTCTTTGGACTTCTGAGGCCATACTATTGTGATGTCATGATGAAATGGCTTCAAAATCTGGACAAATTTTTAGAATGATCTCTCTAGTCCTAGGAAAGAGATCTCATGATTCACTAAAATCCTGGTTCTTTTTTTTATAAAGGGTTCATTTTATTCCCCTCGGGGCTTAGTCTCTTCACAAATGGGATTGCACTTTCTTGGGTCTGTCTCCCAGGAGCTCAATAAATCTGAGACCTAGTAATGGGAACTCCACCAATGCCTCATAGTGAGTGATTCTCTTAATGACTCCATTTCTCATGCCTTTTTTGCAATGGAAGAATGTTCTTTATTCAGGTTGATTTTTCTACAGGAAAGCAGAAATCTTGTGCATCTAAAGAAAATATAGCTCTGATATTAACTACTAGGATTTCGTTGATGTCCTAGGAGCTCAGAGACCTGCCCTTGACACACCACTAAGAACATCACCTGAATATGCATGTGATGTTCTCATGTCGATTTTGTCATGAATGCTTAACTTGTCTCTGCTGCCTCAATTTACTGACATGGTTTATATGCTTTGCTTTCTCTCACTTTCAGGCAATGAGGCTCCAGATTGTGGCAAACTTAATCAGGAGGATAAAAAGAAAGACACATAAAATAGGAGAAAACAATATAAAATTAGCATCAGAAAAAAGTGCCAGGGGCCAGCGTTGTGGCATGGTGGGTAAAGCCGCCTCCTGCAACACCAGCACCACATATGGACACTGGTTCAAGCCGCAGCTGCTCCACTTCCAATCCAGCTCCCTGCTAATATGCACCTGGGAAAATAGCAGAGGATGGCCCAAGTCTTTGGCTCCTGCACTCATGTAGGAGACCCAGAGGAAGCTCCTGTCTCCTGGCTTCAGTCTGGCCCATCCCTGACTGTTGTGGCCATTTGGGGTTGAGCCAGTGGATGGAACATTTCTCTCTGTGTGTCTGTTGCTCTCTCTCTTTCTCTTTCTCTCCCATTCCCTCTCTCTCCCCCCCACCTCTCTCTCTCAACTCTGCCTTTCAAATAAATAGGTAAATCTCTTTAAAAAGAGAGAAATAACTTCCAAAGTGACACATTGACATGTAGATAAGTCCAGGGGAGCCCCTCACATGCAACACTGCAAAAACTTTCAAAATATAGACTACTGTACAAAACTTGTTGTTTTTTTTTTTTTAAGATTTATTTATTTATTGAAAGGCAGGGAGAGAGGGAGAGACAGAGAGAGATTTTCCATCTGTTAGTTCACTCCCCAAATGGCTGCAATGGCCAGGGCTGGGCCAGGCCGAAGCCAGGAGCCAGGAAGGTCCAAGCACATGGACCATCTTCTACTTTTCCAGGTGCATTAAAAGGGAGCTGGATCAGAAGTGGAGAAGCTGGGACTGAAACCAGCAATCATATGGGATGCCTGCCATTATAGGCTGCAGCTTAACCTGCCAGGCCACAATACCAGCCCTTGTACAAAATTTTTTATCATAAACTCTGCCTGCCTTTTTGTCTCATCTCTTACCCTCTTTTAAAAATACAAATACTTGGAGCTCAATCATTACGTAAGTGAATTATTTAATCTAATTATATGTATCTCTTTTACAACCTTTCCTAATCAAATAAATTATGAGCTTCCTTAAGATTTGGATCCTGATTTAATCATCTTTACATCTCTAGAATATTGCCCAGGGCGGGTTACATATTAGGTCTGCAATGCATGTGTATGGGTGGATAGCAAGGAGGGAGAGAAGAAAGGGATAAAAGAGAAGGGTGCCAATGATTGACAGCAGTTGTTCTGTTATTGCAGGATTACGCTCCCTTGGAATGACAATCACCCAGTGCTATGAAGAAGTTGGCCTACTACTCCTATTTCTATCTGTGGGAATATCCATATTTTCAACTATAGAATATTTTGCTGAACAAAGCATTCCTGACACAACCTTCACAAGTGTCCCTTGTGCATGGTGGTGGGCCACAACCTCCATGACTACTGTGGGATATGGGGACATTAGGCCAGACACCACTACAGGCAAAATCGTGGCTTTCATGTGTATATTATCAGGAATTCTTGTCTTGGCCTTGCCTATTGCTATTATTAATGATCGCTTCTCTGCTTGCTACTTCACCTTGAAACTCAGGGAAGCAGCTGTTAGACAGCGTGAAGCTCTGAAGAAGCTCACCAAGAATATAGCCACTGACTCATACATCAGTGTTAACTTGAGAGATGTCTATGCTCGAAGTATCATGGAGATGCTTCGGCTAAAAGGCAGAGAAAGAGCAAGTACCAGAAGCAGTGCAGGAGATGATTTCTGGTTTTGAATTCACTTTTGATTAATTTACATCCGCTGTGTACAATTAACTGGATTGATAAAGTCTTGATGTGAATCTGTGTACTGATGATGAATGTCTTTTGAACACTACCCATCTTAATTTTTGCTGATATACTGCTTGGTATTCTAAACTGTTGTACATCCCCCATGACAACTGCACATTTGAGTCTCAAATATAGCCAGTTTACATAACCAAAGACAACTGGGATATTATACACATGTCTGAATTGCCAAATATGAAACAGTATCACTAAAATCCATACAACATGACTAAATGTTTTAAGTATCACTAATCTTACAAGTTTTTGCACATTGATTTTTTTAAATGGAAATTAAACAGTATAGCCAGAGGAAAAGAACTAAACAATTTTGCTATTTAAAGATATTCTCCAGGTAAATAAAATACTCCTTTCTCTACCAGTTAAGCTGTTGAATATAACAATTAGCTTTGTGAGAGAAAATCCTGACTTGATACTCATAGATTATGTCCCTGTCTTCTGTCTGGTGCAGACTATTGGTCACATGGGGATTTCAGCTCTGTGTCCCATCTTTACCATTGGAGGTGGGAATTATGACAATGCAGTGGATGAGTGCACGTAGAGGCTTCAAGAACTGTACTTCATTCTCCCCACTGAATGTAATATGTGAAGTGTTTATTAGTACTTCATGAAAATCAGATGGTTTTTGAAATGTCTCTTTTTGGATGCATTCATTGTTCAGCTATGTCTTTAAAATCATGAATATATGGAAGTAAGTAGTAAACATTTAATTTATAGACTGATACTATTAAAAGTTCTCATTTCATAAAATGAAAATATGTTGAATGGCATCACTGGATGAGCTCAAATATGTTTTATTTGTTAACAAAAAATATGGACAGCTTCTGACTATTAGAGTAAATAGTAAATGTTCAAACTTTGTAGGCATTTTAACATTCATGATAATAAAATTCCTAGAATCTTCTTTTTTATAATTAAAATCAAAACTCTAAAACTAAGAACTAGTTAATTATCTCAAATATTTTAGTATATGAAATTTTTAGAACTAAGAATAACAAGGAATGGATCGTTTTTAATTTCTCTATTCTACAAATATATAATAAAGCCCCAAATAAGAAAATCGGTTGTTGGCTAAAAACCTTACTCTTTTTATGTATAAAGCATAGATACACATGCAGTATGTAAACATACATATATGATATCTGTGGTATTAACAGTTTGTGAGATGGAAAATTGGGAAAAAATATCTAGGTGGCACTGATAGGTATGTATGTTGATAAGATATATGGAGAGACACTGCATTAGGATACAGCTATACCATATTTCATCAACTCTACCTAAGACATTCTTTTACATTATGAAACACCAGTAAAGGAAAAAAATTGTGCTTATCAACTATAAGATGACATTTGTTGTAAAATACATTCAGATTTCATATATATATATAATTTTATAACATGCATCTTAAAATCAATGAAGTTTTACATGTACTGCCTCCTGTTATCTAACAGGTATGTTCAAATTTTGAAAATGTATCCATTGATGGCATAAGTTTCAGAATATATGGTAAAGTTCTTTAATTCATTTGACTTGTTTGTACTTCTAAATATTATGAAAGATTTCAAAAAGATAAGTACTAGTACAATAAATATATTCCCTTTTACACACATACACATATGCTAGAGTATGGCACTAGTCCTAGTATAAATCCCATCTATAGACATGAGGGACCTAAGAGGTTGCACACAGAAGGAGTAGCCATTCTGACTTCTCTGGAACTTTTCCTAATAAGAGTAGTTGCTCTGATCCAGGGCTATGCAATGTACTCACCATGTAGTATGTCAATTTATCCTCAAGGTATTGTATTATATAATTACTATGACTCTTCTAAATATATATTTTATATAATTATTAACTAAAAATATTTATTAAGGACCCTTCTGAGTGCTGGGCACTGGAGAGTCTTTGTTAAACGAGACCAAATCCTGTTCTCTTGTATTTAATATTCTACTTGAGGGTGTGAGAGGAAGATAGATGATAAAACTTAGACATTAAGGGATGTAAACTCATCTGAATTCATACAGCCTGAAGGTAGCAGAGCCAGAACTAAATGCCAAATTGCCTGACCATTAAAATTATATGCCTCAAATTTATATTATAGATTTCACTCTTTCCACACAACCTATGCAGAGGCATTCATTTCATAATTAAGCAAGCCAGCTTCTCAGGGCTGTAGAGTTTTACTATGCCTTAAGAAAAGTATCACCTTATATTCAGGGGTGGAATGGTGCTTTTATAAAACAGTAGTGGGGCCAGCATTGCAGGTTAAGCCACCACTTGCAAAACAGGCATCCCATATCAGGGTGCTGGTTTGAGTCTCGGCTACTCCACTTCTGATCCAGCTCCCTGCTAATGTGCCTGGGAAAGCAGCGAATGATAGCCCGAGTGCTTCAGCCTGTGCCAGCCATTTGGGAAACCCAGATGAAGTCCTCGGATCCTGGCTTCAGTCTGGCCCAGCCCTGACTATAGCGGCCATTTGGTGAGTGGAAACAACAGATGGAAGATAGTGCACTTGCTCTTGCTTTTTTTCTCTCTCTCATTCTTCCTTTCAAATAAATGTAATCTTAAAAAAAAAAAAAAAGGTTGTGGTTACACCTTATACTCACTGCACAAGAAAGGAATTATAATAACAGTTGGAATAATGTAAATTGAAAATGTGTATATATAATATATATGTTAATATTATATAACGTACAATACAAATATATATGCCTCACAGAAAATCATAAACATGCTCTTTACAAATGAGTTATGTTAGGTGTATAAATTTTATCAAGATATGTATATTTCAAATAACCATTTAAATGTTACCATCTAGTCAAATTTACTTACCCAACAAATGAACATATAAGCAAACCAAATTTAATTTAAGTGAGAAATCAAGGCAAGGGATCTGTTAATGTTACAGCCTATCATTTATAAACATTGGACATTTTGCAAAAATCTAGTAATTGTTGTTATAAAACAATATTTAAGTTGTTTAGAAACATAAAATAATGGAATATTGTATACCTAAGGCATTTATGTAATACTAATTAAAAACATTTGAATATACAGAAGCAATGCCAGAGTGTTTTAAAGAACAATGTTAAATTACTGAGGAAGCTCTAGTGTGAGTAACATAGTCATATATTACTATGTTTCTCTTTTTCTCCCCTTCTCTCAAGAATTGTTACATGTAACAATAAGTATAATGTATTAGATGCACAAAGGAGTTAACTGGGATGGAAATTTGAATTCTGTGCTTCATTGTGGAATTCTTACTCTCATTAAAATCATTTGACTAACTCATAGATCCAAGTTATCCAAGTAAAATATTATCATTAAGCAATTTACTACTTTAATGAATTTTCCTCAAACATGCTTTGTTAGGGTGAAAAGCGTTCTCTTTTTGAGGGGCCCTGAAAAAGTTCATGGAAATATGCATTATCTTTTAATTCCACCTTTCCATGAACTTTTATTAATCCTTCAGTTCAGGTCCAAGATGATGTTGGTTAGCAAATTATGTGTTCTAATGCTTCCCTTGGTAATTTTCCTTCACAAACCACCACCCATGGCCAAAGCTGTCTCCAAGTCACATTGATATATGGGAGAAAAATGTCATGTTGGGAGAGATTCATGGATCCCATAGGCAACTGTTCACCTGGCATGCCTTTAGGGGAATGGGATAACTAAGATACTCAAATTTTCATTTTCATTCTTCCCTTATTATATTATAAGCACTCCCTTGTTTAAACCCTTAAACCCATCTCATATTCAACTGAATATACCCCAGCCCTAATCATCTAATTCAATACCTACGTGCACCTGTCCCTGTAGAACAGATTATGGCTACAGAAGAAAACAATGCATGCTGACTGCCTTCACTTTATATTAATGCCTACAACTCCAAATGGTTTCTTAATGGTGCCAGGCAATTATACTGCAATTCCTGAATCCATTCACTCTCTTGAGATAAATAGAAACCTCCAACACCTCCTTTTGATTCCACTTTTACTCAGAAACTTGAATCGGAAGAGACATTTTACAAGATCCAGCCTCCACATGTATTCTCCTACATCCATCTGTGCCTGTTTCCTCTGCCTTTCAAGGTTTGAGATGTCCACCCCACCCTTTCTCTCCAATACGAGGACATTTTTTCAGAAAATACCTCTATCTACTCTACCATAACTTTTCCCCTGTCTGCTGGGTTGGTGATTCTACCAGCATACAAACATGATTTGATTTTTTCACATCTTTAAAAAAATTGGAAGAAAATGTTTAATCTACTACATTCTCTAGAAAACACCAAATTCTTTCTTCTACATCATAGCAAGACTTCTTAACAACATTTTCCATACTCAGTGTCTTCATTTATATATTTACTGTTTCTTTTCCCAGTTTCTAGTTGAAAATATACTCATCAGTCCCCCTCCCCTATATATCCTATTAAATTCTTTTCAAGATCAGCACTTGCCACATCTTCCTAATTCAATCATTGATTCTCAGGCTTAATGTTATTTAATTGATCCTCAACACTTTACAAGGCTAAGTGCAGGTCCATTCTTGAACACTTCCTTCACTTGACTTCTGTACCCTGACACCCTCCTTTTGTCTCATTCATATTCTACTGGTAAGCCAGCTTTCCTAGTTGGGATGGTTAATCTGGACTTAATCCCCTGTCTTCTCCTACTTTCTATTTATATTGCTCCCTTGATAAAATCTTTAGTTTTCCTAGCTTAAATATTCTTCATACTTGGTCAGTTTCCATATTCCTACATCATACTAGACATCTCCTGTATCTTTCAATTCGTGTTACTAACTGCCAATGCAACCAGAGTCCAATAAACATCCCACAGTCAGTACATCCAATGTCAAATTACTGATATTTCCCCAAAACTCTAAGTTCAACTTTTGTTGAGCACATTCCCAGACAGATGACTATTCGACATGGATTATGTGACAGAATTTTACTGAGAAAAAAAGATCCCTGTGAAGCTTAAAAAGAAGGAATCTAGAGAAATTGAGAAGAGTCTTCAGACCTCGCTGCAAATATGACAACTGTGAAGAACAGGATAAGGGAGAGGATTGGGTAAGAAGGATCTCTAATTGAAGCCCATTTCTAAGATACCTCAGCCACCTTGATATAGAGGTCTTTAGCAAAAGTATCCCACTAAGAAATCCCACATGTCTTAGAAATGGCACTGAATTAGTACTCCAGAAAGGCAACAAGCTGATACTGTTAATTAAACCCCTTAGGAGGAGATATGAGCACTCCATTTTCATTGCCAGCTGCATAGGTCTGCTTCTCCATGGAGGTTCAGAAGCAGTACCTCTGTGAATGCCAGGGGTCTCTCTTTTTTGAGGGGAAGCTTAGGAAAAGAGGCTGGTGTGATTAATTAGAACTCTTATTAATGTAGTTTGTCCCTGAACAGCAACTAGAAGGCACCTCATTACCTCCCACTATCTACAGCACCCCCATCAAAGAATACCATTCCCTCACTATACCCTATCATCCTAAAAGAGTTACAAAGAAATTTTTCAGGGTGCCTATCTTAGCTTCAGAGAATAATTTCACATCCTAGAAAATACTTTTCATCATTATTGTGTACTGGAGCACACCATAATTAATTATGCTGCACAGAAATGTCATTGCCATGCTATTTACTTTTATTCTTGAACAAAGAAATGACTTGAATAAAAATGGAATTTCACAGGAATATTTCAAATTTATCTAAATTCCATTTTCTTCTTTTCTGAGCTGGTAGCATCATGCCCCATATGATAGTATTTTAATAAGCACTATTAATAATATAATGA